GTAGGACTGGTTAATACTATAGTTATTTTAAAAAGCCAGTTTTATTTTAAAAAGTAAGTTCACGGCATTCAATATTATAAACAACTTTTTTTTGATGAAGAGTTTTGAAGAACTCAGAAAGTTGTATCTTATACCTTGGTTGGTTTACTGGCTGAGCCATCATTGTTTTTAATAACAATTTATTGGGTTCAATAATTTGTCATGATTCCTGGTTTGTAGACCAGTGGCTGATTATGCATTAGCAATAACAAATGAAATGTTTTATTATGTGAGAACGTAAATTCTGAGTTAGTGGATTATACCAATGGTTTGGGAGTTAACATGGATTTTGGAATTTCACAGGTTTAAGTAGAATTAGAGGAAAATGTTATATATGTGGGTCCCCATTTTTTGACAAATTTAGTACCTTAAGTCTTAGGGTACATTAGGCTTATATAAGTCTATTGTAAAGGGGAACAACAGAAATAAAGTCTGTGAAAGACAAACCATTTGACCCAAATTAACAGATATAGATATCAAATTCCAAAGATGACACTATAAAGGATAGACCTTAACATCAATATTTCATATAAACTTTAATCAATTATATAGAAATTTGACTGAATATGACAACAGCAAGTAAAACAATTTCGCGTAAAGCAAGATTAAAACAATGAAGAAGCCCAAGTTTTAGGAAATCAACATCAAATGTTATCTACATAAAAGACTTAATCTTTTAAAAGTAACAATGATCTTAAATGTGGCAAAATTTAGCAGGCATTTCTCCAAACTGGGGGGTTATTTTTCACAAGGATCAACTGCCAAGCTTAGTCTTTTACCAGCTACAAATTTAAGGCATACTTTGTAATTATAGTCCATTGAGTACACAGGTATGCAATTTTGTATGAGACCGAGTTCGATGTCTACATTAAGTCAGTGGCTTTGTTCGCAGCACACCCTGAGTCATGAAGTTGCCAGCCACATTTTAGCGTAGGGGGTTACTTGCGCAACCTCAACCATGACTGAGTAAACAATAAACATGGTTTAGCTGGTCGTGGGAACACAGCCAAGGCAACCTACCCCAGCCTTTCCGCCCCTCCCACCACCCACCCACCCCAACCCCAAAAGCTACGTGATTCCTCCTCGGCGTCATCGGTTCAGTCTTTCCTCGGCTACAGCCCGAAGCGAAGGAACCCAGAGACCTCCTTTCCCTCCGCAGCGCGCTGCGGCGAGGACGCATCTGGCCTGCGACGGATCGAACCTACCAAGCGGAACTCTCACTCTTCGGGGAGGGAGGTGGGGGTGTTTAACAAACCCGGAGAATAATGAGAGAAGAAAACGAAAGTACGTGTAGCAAAGAGTGACTTCTTTCACGAGATTGGCTGAGACGAATTAGAAGGCGGAGAGAGCGGAGGGCGAGAGCGAGAAGGGGCTGGTGGGAAGCTGTTTCCTAGGTAATGTTCGCCACCGGCGCCACCATTGCTTCCCTCCTCCCGCGGGTGCCTGCATTAGACGAGTAACGGGCTTCGTTTCCTTAGCCAGGCAGGCTCTGTCGCAGCTTGGACGCTACCTGAAGCCCAGCAGGTAAACACGTATTACCGGCGACGGGGCTGAGGAGGAAAAGCCGCCGCCACCGCGGATTGAGGGAACAGGAAGCGAGTTCGACTGTCGCTCCACCCGCGTTGGAGCAGGTAAGTGTCTGAAACCAGAGGCGGTTGGCCGGAAAGTGAAATCACCCGATCTGTTTGGTGAGGAGGGCAGTCCGCCGTCGTGCCCAGTGTTGTCCAGCTGGGCTCGTTAGTGAGGAGGGAGCACCACGGGGAAGGCAACTCGGGATGGAACACGTTCGCGTTTGAAAAAGTCTGCCTGCTGGGCTGCCCTTGGGAATCTTTCCGGACCGCTGGCATATATTTACCATACTTGGCTGTGGGTCCCGCAAACGGTCTCAGAGAGACGAGATGCAACAAATATAAAAATAAAATATAATAAATAAGGAAACCCGTCGTCGTCCCCTCCCCCGCCACAAGGGTGTATTTTATTGAGGTTTTTATTGTTTCGTAGGTGCATTGAGCTCAAAAAGATTGTGGCGCCATCGGAGGTGTGTACTTGGGTGTATGTATTCATGCACTCCTCCTTTTTCTCCTCCCCAAATAATATTTAACTCCCTGGTCAAGCATGGCGTTTTTTATTTATTTATTTTTACATTTCTTCATTACAAGAGCATAGTAGAACGGTAGTAAGACAAAGATGTGTGTCTGACGTCTATATTAAAAAAAAATTGCAAGAGTAGTAAGCACAGAGGCAGACGGCTGCTGCCCTCTTTTTTCAAGCGATCATGTGAAGTTTAGTCACTTCGCAATCAGTTGGGATGAACAAGGAGGTTAGAAACAGCTGTGGCATGCTTAACAAAACTACGAAAATGTTAAAAAAAACCTTGGGCTTTGTGAAAAAAGATGTTATCAGTTTTTGAGCATGCTATGTTCTGTAGAATGCTAATCTTCTTCTATTGCACCATAGCTCTGGAAGGTGAGAATCAACTGCTTCCATTTTAATGATTACAGTGATTTAATGATTAATAACATTTATTGTTTTTATTCGGATAATGGATATTATGTGAGAGGATATTTCACATTAGAGTGCTATTGTGTGTGATTTTAAAATAGCTTTCATGTTGTGATGTTTAGCACTCTTCTTACAAAAAGCTATTCTCCAGCTGTTTCCAGTTTTTCTTTTTCCAGGAAGAGGCAACAATAGTTCTGTAATAAAAATACACAAAAATAAAGCCTAAAAATCTGGGTGTTGTGTAAAAATTGGCAAATTCTCATTAATCTTTTCGGAAATTAGATGAGGCTATTTAACAGTGTTATTTAATTAAGATAAAGATTACTGCTGTGTCAACTGTACAACTGACCCAAGCCCGGCCCTTCCTGTTGACAGTTGGTATCTTTCTGGGTAATCCTTTGAGATTCTTAAATGAGGAAGGGGAAGTTGCTTGGGTCAATTATGTTCTCTCTCTCCAAATCTTAAGAGCTCATTGTAGTACTTCTCATTATAGTATCAGACTAAATTAGACATTTTTCTCAGGTTGCATATGTTCACTGAATTTGAGATTTCATTGAAATACAACTCTGGCAGTTATGTATATCGCTTCATTAAAATAGTTTTTTGATGATTGTTGGCAACTTTCTTATAGTATATTTATGCATTTGTGTAATTTTTGGGTGGTATTTTAATTATTACACAGTAAGTGACTTATTTAAATCCAGATATGAATTAATTGAGGGTAATTTTTCAAAGAGAAGTTTGTTGGCAATGATAGAACCAGAGTCCAAATTGAAAGTTCTTTTCTTTCTCCTTCTGCCAGCCAATTTATTTTCCTTTCTTTTCCTGCAAAGATGGCTATCTGATGAATAATACTGTAGATCACTGTTGTAGGCAGTCTAGGCTGATTGTTTACAGGGGCATTTTTTCATTTTGGTTGTGGGTTTCAGGTTGCTTACTCTGGTTTAAGAAAAACCACTCAGTAAACATGATTACATTGCAAGTATTTAAGTGTCAGGAAGAATATTAACTTTACCTTGAATCTACCAGACGAAATGCATTTTGTGGCTTGATGAGCTCTTCATGGGCATAATTAGAGACAAATTGAAATACAGTAGTTTTAATAATACTAGCTATGGTGCCTGGAAGATAGGAGCTAATTGTCATAAAGAATGATTTTTAGATATACATTCCAGTCTTGCTTGAAAATTCAGGGATGTTGGTGTAAATCTAGAAAACCTCACTTTTATTAACTTGATTTTGTAAGCCTGTTCAAGCATTATGTGAATTGAGAATTTTCACATTTGACTATTTAGATCAGGGGTGTCAAACTGGTGGCCTGCGGGCCGGATGTGTCACGCGCAGGCCATGCCCACCCCAGCTTCGTGAATGGGAAAAACATTGCAAAACATGATGCCACAAGTTTGACACCCGTGATTTAGATAGTCTTCCCTGACTATGCTGAATCTGTTTTTGTGGCAAGTTGATGTAATTTGTGAAAGCCAGCAACCTCTCTTGGTAATTAATTTCATTGTCAAACTGCTCTATTAAGAGAAAAATGAAATTATTTCTGTGATTTAGAATTGTGCTTCTGTTGGTGCAGCTTAGAATTACATTTCTCTTTTTTGTAGACATATCACACAGTGCCTTATAGTGAATAGGCAATCAAATGCTATGCCAAGACTTTTCCCCCCCATCTAGTAATTATGCATTTGGTTTGTTTTTAGAAGGAATAAATGTATAGTTAAGTTTTAGTCAGCATATTAGTTTCAGCTTATTTCTCTAACTGCTCAAAATCATTTTGAATTTTATTGCATCTAGAATATTTGTGTCATCAGCAAATTTGATATACCTATTGTGTTATTCAAGTAAAAAAAAAACTTTAAAATGGGGAACTGATTCTTGTAGTATTCCACTTGATATCCCTGCTCAATTGATGATGTACCACTACTGAGCACTTCGAGTATGAATTTTCACACCATGCAGCCCTCAAACTTGCTAATCAAGTACCATCTGCTGTAATGTACTTTGATACGGTCAAAATGTATTTATTTGAAGCATTTATATGACTGCCCAATTAAGACATCCTGATTCTAAGTGGTATAGAAGCAAGAAAATGGGGGGGAAAAACAAGCAAAGCAAAAGTTTTAAGTTACCCTTAAAATGTCCCAAACGAATGGCCCCCCAACCTTTGGGCACCAGGGACTGGTTACGTGGAGAGAGGTTTTTTCATAGACCAGAGGAGGCATAGTTTAACATTCTGCCTGCATCCCGCAGATTGGGCCTCACTTGTTTACATGGCCCGGTTTCTGGCATGCCAGAGAACGGTGCCCGAAGGTTGGGAACCCCTGTCCTAAACAATAAAATAGTGGCTGGAACTGAAATATATCGTAAATCTTCAAATTGAGAACTCTGCTTATCCTGGCCCAAAGGTCTATCTATGGAAAGAGCTAGTTTAAACTGTCTTGATAAATGCATGCTGACTTCTGATTATTGTATTGTTTTAAAAGGTTTGTGCATTGTTCTCTATGATCCAATATGGAGTCTTCCTAAATATAAGTGTCATACTGAACTGTCATTTGCTGGATCTTCAAATTTCCATTTGTTCAAAATAGGAGCAAGTAGTACTTCACCAGTACTTCAGAATTTCTGAAAGATAATATACAAGGATTCTGTAATACTATTAATTTTTTTTCAATACCCTACAGCGCAATTCTCCTGGTCTTAAGCATTTAAATTTAAAATATTTTTTCTACCAATCTGGAACTTCATTCCAGTCCTTCCCTACTTCCTGGTAAAAGATTCACTTTTTTTGTTAAGCTACATTGAACCAAACCAGAAGTTTATAGCAGTGCCTTTTCTTTATTACCTATTAGGTAACTTATTATATAATCTTTGTTACTTATTCTTTATAATCTGTTCATTCTTCTAAATAGTCCCAAAGTGTGGTTGAAAAGAAATTGAAAAGATTATAGTAATCATGGTAAAACAAAGTAATAAGTAATATACAGTACTAAAATGTTAAAATGATAAATTCCTTAGGCAGCTATAGTAGGGTTACTGAGTCCCAAGAAAAGAAAGCACACTGTTAAGTCCTATAGGGACTTTCCAGAAAATGCTAGAACCACTGGGTCTACAAAGCAGTGGAAAACATGCAGAATTCTAAATGAAGGCACACATATTCACCTACCTTCTCTCTCAGTTGTACTATCATGCTAAGATATTTCCTGGATTTTTCAAACTTGTAATCCAATAGATTTGTAGCCCTGCTCCATTTTCACATGCATGTTTTGTTCTTCCAACCTACAAATTGTCAGTAGCAACAAAAATATGAGAAATCTGAGCATGGTATCAATTACTTAGTGTGAATATCATAAGAAAACTATGCTCAGATAACATTGTTTGTCTCCATATGTACGAGGGAGATGGGCAGAGGTGGGTTTCAGCAGGTTCTGACCAGTTCTGGAGAATCAGTAGCGGAAATTTTGAATAGTTCAGAGAACCGATAGTAAAAACTCTGACTGGCACCGCCCCCATCTGTTCTCTGCCTTCCAAGTCCCAGCTTAAAGGAAGGAAATGGGGATTTTGCAGTACCTTCCCCTGGAGTGGGGAGGGAATGGAGATTTTACAGTATCCTTTCCCTGTCACACCCACCAAGCCATGCCACGCTCACCAAGCCATGCCAAACCCACGGAACTGGTAGTAATTTTTTTTGAAACTCATCACTGGAGATGAGCTGTTAAGTTTGATAAGTAAGTTTGATAAGTATGTAAGTAAATTAAATAAATAAATAAATACATACATACATACATACTTAATTATAGTACAAAACTATTCTGGAGGAGTGTAAAAGAACTTATTTGATTTTACATTCTGTGCTTCTTCTTTTTTCTTCCTGAATATCAAGTTATATTTTGCTTTAAGTAATTTTTGATTTGATATATGCAAATAATACATATTTTATATTAAATTTAGTCAACTGCTAAGCAAGTAAACCAAATAATTCATATATGTTATTTAGCTATTTACTATTCATGAGGTTTATTTTAAGCTATAAATAAATAGTTGCCTTTATTTATTTAGCTTAAATGCAGCTCCATTTCTCAAGATGCAGAGTGGCTTACAATTAACAACTTCAAACTAAAAGCACTGAGCCGCCCAGAATTGTTTGCTAAGATGGATAGCTATAGAAATCAAATAAATAAATAAATAAAACATAGAAAATCAGTAGCATAATCATAACAGCCATATGGCCATAATGTGTCACTTACCTGTAAAGCAAAATATTCAGGCATTGCAAGTATATCTTTGAAAAGCTATTTTTTCATGGATCTTTGAAAACATAATAGGGAAAGGGTGGTGTGAGTCTCTGACTTAAAAGGCAGAGTGGCGTCACTAAGAAAGTTCAAGCACAAGGTTCATGTAGGCATCTCTCTAGGTTTGAGATTTTCCACAAATCCTTTCTGCTACAACTCACTGTATAGGCAGGATCATTTCTGAGAAGATTGAAGATATCCAAATCTGAGCCACAGAGGTTTTAAAGATAATAACTGAATTGGCTTCTGAACCCAGAAGCCAATTGTCAACCAGTGCAATTTCCACAGCAGTGGTTTTCCCATAATTACTCAAGCTGCTGTCAACTAAAGCTTCTAAATAGCCTTGAAGAGCAGCTCCATGTAGCATAAATTATAATCATCCAATGCAAGGTGATGAAGTCGTTTATACAGAAAGCAAAGCTTTGTGTTCCAAATATGGTTCTCATAGGTGTATTTGCTTCTCCAAGTCACACCTGCTGTTCAAAAACAAGCTACGAGTCCAGGAGAACTTCCATATTACAAAGTCAGAGCCATTGTGAGAAGTGCAACTAAACCAAGATGAAGGGTCTCTGGGGACTATTGGCTTAGCCATTCTATAGCAATAGCACTTAGACTTATATACCACTTCATAGTGCTATAGAGCCCTTTCTTTTTTAAAATAATAGTTTTTATTTTACAATTTCCAAGTTTAAAAACCATAAGTGAAAAAGAAAAAATACAAATACAAACAAATAAAAAACACAAGCAATACAACAGTGTAATGTAATTTTACAGCTTTCCGTATCAGCATGTATATTCTGCTGTTATAATACCGCCCTTTCTAAGCAGTTTACAGAATGCTCCCAATAGTGTGGGTCCCCATTTTAACAACCTCAGAAGGATGGAAGGTTGAGTCAACCTTGAGCCGGTGTCAATCAAACTGGGAGAGTGACCAGAGTTAGCCTGCAATACTAATTAGAATGAATACCAATCATTCTAACCACTGCACCACCATTATTCTAACCACTATCTTGATTAGTATAGTGTAATTGGAATTCAGTCTAAACTTCAGTCTAACTTCAATCAGGAATTCAGCAAATAAGTCTTCGTTTATCCCCTTAAACCATTTAGTACAATAATGGTTAAAGGTGAGCCAAAAGTGTGTAAGATTTTTCACTTGTTTTTTTTTCTTTCAAGTTTTTAATAAAAAATATCAGTTTGTAGACATAACTGCATCAGAGATCTTAAGGCAGAAAATATAAAGAGATGGACTGGACTCTTATAAATTTTCTGTGTTCTAATTTGGATTATGATAAGCAGGTAACAATTAGTATTAGATTCAGCAGAAACATGGATCAAGTGGAGATGGATAATTTGGAGCAAATTCTCATTTATCTGTGGCATGGCCAGGCTTTTGTGTTTCCTCTGTTCTGATCCAGATTTTCTAGCAAGCCTTGGTTCGGCCTGTCTCTGCAGCCAAAGCATGCTGCCAAAGGCAGTACTTGCAGCAGCCAGTTCCCCACACTGGCAAAAAAAAAAAAAAAAGAAAGAAAGAAAAACTTTTGAAATTGATATAAAATTTCATTGTGTTTTGCATTCCTCTTACTGTGGCTATTTAAAAATTACATATTTTTTAAATTGTATTTTAAATATAAACTATTAATTGCAAGGAATGAGGGTATAAATTTCTATATATAAAAGCGAAAACCACTCCCGCCATAATCACGAAATCTCCAGAACTGTAAAGCCTACAAGCTTGAAATATGCCACGTATGTTCCTCTTGGCTTCTAGATGCTCCCTAAGAAAGGATTTTTTGAAATGACCATCAGAGCATTAGTATTTCCTATATTATGATTAACATGCTCTAATGCTAAGAAGTTCTCCTCCCCCTCCCCACCTGAAAAGAAATCTGTTCCAAATGCAAAACAGAAGCAGAGGAGAAGAGTTTCACTTTCAAATTTACTTTCATAGCAGCAACTAGGGGATAGGATGGGGAGGCTTCTGTGGGGCAAGCTTGAGGGAGAGAAAGGGATAGGATAGGGTTCTGTGGGGCAAGGCTGAGGGAGAGAAGGGGAGAGGAGAGGCCAGTCGTAATTTACTCATTAATTTTCAAGCTGTAAATGTCGATTTATCAAGCCCGATCACATAATTTCATAGCGAAGCATGGATATCCAGCTAGTATATCTATAACTTTAGAATGTAGAACAAGGTAATGAATAAGATAGTCAGGTGTGCATGTAATTATTAAATGGACTTGTACTAACTATTGTAAGTTTATTGATTATTATCGATAATTTCAGGTTGCTTCTCTTTTTGATTACTTTCCAACCATTAGTTCTTGTCCTGCTTTGGAGAATACTTTGACCCCCTCTTCTTTGTGGTAGCCCCTCAAATACTGGAATACTGCTATCATGTCACCCCTAATTCTTCTTCTTTTTAGACTAGACAGACTCAAAACCTGCAGCCGTTCTTCATATGGTTTAGTCTCCAGGCCTTTGATCATCTTAGTTGCTCTTCTCTGAACTTTTTATTTTTTTATTTATTTATTAAATTTATATCCCGCCCTTCTCCCTGAAGGGACTCAGGGTGGTAAACAGCCGAGAATTAAAATCACATGCAATACAAAAGTTAAAATAATTAAAATAAATTAAATTAAACGGCCGCCCCAATTTAAAACCCCTAGCAATACAATTAAAAACCCCTAAAACCTATTCAGGCCAGGCCGGCTTGCTGAAATAAAAACGTCTTCAGGGCATTACGGAAAGTGCAGAGAGCCGGAATCAGCCGTATTCCGGGAGGTAGCTCGTTCCAGAGGGCGGGTGCTCCCACAGAGAAGGCCCTCCCCCTGGGGCCGCCAGCCGACATTGCTTGACCGACGGCACCCTGAGGAGGCCCTCTCTGTGAGAGCGTATTGGCCGGTGGGAGATTATCGGTAGCAGTAGGCGGTCTCGTAAATACCCTGGCCCTAAGCCATGGAGCGCTTTAAAGGTGAGAACCAACACCTTGAAGCGCACTCGGAAGAGCACCGGGAGCCAGTGCAGCTCGCGCAGGAGAGGTGTTATATGGGAGCGCCATGTCGCTCCCGTGATCACCCGCGCGGCCGCATTCTGGACCAGTTGGAGCTTCCGGGTGCTCCTCAAGGGGAGCCCCATGTAGAGAGCGTTAGCGTAGTCCCAGCGAGAAGTGATGAGAGCATGAGTGACTGTGCATAAGGAATCCCGACTCAGAAAGGGGCGCAACTGGCGTATCAGGCGAATCTGATAAAAAGCCCCCCTGGCCACGGCCGTCATATGCTCTTCTAAAGACAGCCGTGTGTCCAGGAGGACGCCCAAGTTGCGAGCCCCCTCTGTGGGGGTCAATGACTCGCCCCCAATAGCCAGCGATGGCACCAGCTGGCTATATCGGGATGCCGGCATCCACAGCCACTCGGTCTTGGAAGGGTTGAGTCGAAGCCTGTTCCTCCCCATCCAGACCCGCATGGCCTCCAGACACTGGGACATCACTTCAAGGGCATCATTGGGGTGGTTTGGGGTGGAGATGTACAGCTGAGTGTCATCAGCGTACAGATGGCATCGCACCCCAAATCCACGGATGATCTCGCCCAGCGGCTTCACATAAATGTTGAACAGGAGTGGCGAGAGGACCAACCCTTGTGGTACCCCACAATCAAGGCGCCTCGAGGTCGACTTCTGCCCCCCTGCCAACACAGACTGCGACCGGTCGGAGAGATAGGAGGAGAACCACCGCAACACGATGCCTCCCACCCCCAATCCCTCCAGCCGGTGCAGCGTGATACCATGGTCGATGGTATCAAAAGCCGCTGAGAGATCTAATAGGACCAGAACAGAGGAGCAACCCCTGTCCCAAGCCCTCCAGAGATCATCAACCAACGCGACCAATGCCGTTTCCGTGCTGTACCCAGGCCTGAAGCCGGACTGGCACGGGTCTAGATAGTCTCAACATCTTTTTTGTAGTATAGTGACCAAAATTGGTTGCAGTATTTCAGGTGTGGTTTTACTAGGGTTTTGTAAAGCAGCACTAATATTTCACATGATCTTGATTCTATGCCTCTAATAGCTGCTGAGCTTTATTCTGCCACAGTAACATGACTTGCTACAGATATTGTCCCTGCAGTTTTAATCAGGGTGGATTTGATTTAAATCAAGTCGATTTAAATCACGATTTAAATAATGATTTAAATTACTAGTAAAAAGGCTTGTTTTAAATCAACTCGATTTAAATAATAATTTTTTAAAGAGCAACTGTCATCTCTGTCCCTCAGTAGCTCCTCCTCTGACCCTCTGTTGACTCACCAACAGTCCCAATATTGCAGAATATACAGCCTCATGCTACATAACTAAGCTCCATTTCATGCTGTATAAACTAAATTATTAATGTATCTTAAATAGAAAACTATATTTAGATAAATTTTTACTCCAAAAACATTTTATTAAAATAAATTTGATAAAAATAAAAAAAATCTGATTTAAATTTTAAAAAATCCAATTTTTAAAAAATATTTTTTAAAAAATCATCGATTTTTATCCATCCTGGTTTTAATTCATGGCAATTTAAAGCATTTGGTGGATTCTGCTGGCTTCATTTGTCCTTTAAATGAGTACAATTTCCTAGACCAAAAAAACAGCCACCAGTCACTCTCCTTAATTAGAACTAGATTGTGGTAGGAGCTGAGCTTTCACGAATCTGTAGATCAGTTGATTTATCCATCTGTTAAGTACTTTATGATTGGATGGTTCTTGAAATGGGATAAAATAATAAATGAGGAAAGAATCTCCTTCTTTATTCATACAGTGCTATGTCATTGTACAAAGGTTTGGGGGAAATGCTGCACATATGGAAGAGAAACAACATGTATCTTATATAATAATCCTATTCAAATAAAATATTAAGGTGTAGTTTATTTTATCCAATCTGAAACTGTTTTGTCATAAGCAAAAAAATTATACCTTCTTTGGCAGTTTCTGATTCCCCCCCCCCCCAGTTTTTAGGTGCTCTTGCATAATTCCTCTGTAGATCAATAAGAGGCTTAGGTAGGCACAAAAACAAACAATACATAAGCCAGAAAATTTGGGGGGGGGGGCGGGTGCACACACATAATGATGCCTTGTTCATGCTAAACTGCAACCAGTAAATTACAACAAATCCATATGCCATAGTCTCCTGCTCTAAAAACATGTTTTAGTGTTTTAGACTTCCATTAATATAGTGCCCTCAAACCAAACCAAATATACTATGACAAGTACAAGCTTGTGAATTTAGATACTTTCTTTTTTATATAGTCACTACACATTATATATGAAAGAATTCAAATGTAGAGAACTGCAATCCTCTCAATTCTGTCTTTCCATTTTTAATGTGACTCAAAAAAGCCAGTGGTCTCCCCATAATTAGTAACTGTCTAACATCTTTATAAGTGTGTAATAGCTCCAGTACAACTATACTAGTTGCTCAGTGATTTATAATGGCCCTACAAATAAATAGTGGAGTTATTTAGATGTTGATGCTAGGAAACAAACAAACAAAAGTCATGTGTTATATTAAGCTCAGATTCTGATCCTAGTCCGTAGCTCTTACCAAATTTAGATACTCTCATGTACAGATCTGATTGATACTGGAAGTTCTAATTCTGAATTCCTAGGTCTTTTGTCTTTAGTTATAAAGCATTGAACAGACGGATACAGGGAGAAAAAGAGACAAATGGAAAAACATGCCTTAAACATACAATACAAATCTTTGAAAACACAATTCTGTTATATAGAAAAATAGAGACCTAAACCTATATATTAATTCCTGTAGAAATAAGAGAAAGAAGATCAGTGAAAGTTGGAGGGAGAACATAAAATCAGGTAACAATTATCGCTATTTTACTAACTAACTGCCTTATTTTAGGTTTATTTGTAATATAAGTTCATAGGGATTCAATCAGGCTTCATGTCCTTAGATTTGTTTGTTCAACAAAGTGCCAAATTAACAATAAGCTTTTCTGCCTTATTGTGCTGCCATTGTGTATGGGGGAGGTATTCACACATATGTATATTGTATATTAAAGAATAGGCATTTTTTGTTCTTTATTTTAAATTTAGAATGGGAATTACTATAAATGTCTCTGTGTTAAAAAGGACAAATAATTATGTTAATGTTATATTACGTTGATGATTACATTAATAGTAACAATATTTAATTTTCCTGTATTTTTAAAGCTTTTATATGTTTCCGTCCCCTATTGCAGTGCAGGCTCCAACATGTTGTACTTACTATAGCCTTCAGCACCCATACAAAAAAAATTATATCCCTGGTTTATGGTTAAGATGCCCAATTTATAGTATTTCAGCCAGAAATAATCTGCATTATACCGGATAATGCACTTAAGTTCAATTTAAACCTTAAGGAGAATGGCTTGCCTCAAGTCTTTATGACTAAGCATGTTTGCTTTAACCAGGCTTTATGCCAATACTATGTAATTGGAAACTGTTTTTAGTAAAACCTTAAAAGTGTTTTTCCCCCTCTTTTTTAAGAAAATGGATGAGGAAGGATATAAGTACAGTGTGCTTTGTTGGCTGGTAAAATCATTATTGTCTGAACCAGACTACTATAGAAATGATGACACTGTAAACATTTGTAAATTTGGAATCACTGCTTCACCATTGGGATTTTTAGAAGTTATATTTGCATTTATTATTTTTTACATTGTTCTTTTTTGAGACAATGTATTGACTGCTTATTAAAAAAACATTCAAAATACTTTAGTTTCATAATTTGTAAAATAACTAGTTTCTTAAATCCTTAATTAATTGAAAAGCAAGAGAGTATTCAGTTTTTTTAATATATTAAATAACTTGTCCTTTTCCAGCTCACAGAATGCAATGGTTTCATCAAGTGAAGAAGAAAATTGAGCTTTGGACCACTGATTGCTTGACCAAGGGCCATACATACTTTTACTCTCATGTATATTCATCACCACCTTTGTATAAATTCTCTATGTTTGCACGTCTCAATATTTACCTTATACAGATAGTCCTCAGTTAGCAATTCTTCAAAATTACAGTGGCTTCGGGGAGAGTTCTTTATGACCCATAAAGCACTTCCTGCTATTGTAATATGACCCCTCCTCATCATGTGATTGCATTTTGAGCACTTGGCAACCAGCTCATATCTACAACTGGTTGCATCATCCCACTGTCATGTGATCACAATTTCCAACATTGTTATCCATTTTCTGGAAACTGAGAAAAAATGGCCATTGAGTGTACTGGATTGACTTGTAGTTTGCTTAACAATTACAGTGACTCACTTTATTATGGTTTTAAAATCAAATCAGGTCATATTGATCCATTTGATATTGCCCCAACTTTCGATCAAAATTCAAGACCTAGTTGTCAGCTACCAGTACATATTTTTTTCTCAGCAATCACTATGGATTAGTAGTTTCTTGTGATCTAAATAATTTGTTTGTTTTGGGAACCCAGTTGCTTTTTTTTACAATTAATGATAACAAAAGATCAGTAACCTACAATTATTTCTTTTTACCAACCAGTTGATTAGACCAGACAACTAGATGGAGTTTCCAAGCAGCTAAGTGTAATACAATACCATTTATAAAAATAATACCTATTTGCGCAGAAATGGGAAAAATGGTATTAAATGTCAGCTAATCATTTCAATATAGGTAGATGTTAGGGTTATGTGCAGTACTTTATATTCAACTTCCCAAATGTAGGACTACTCTACATCTCCTTAAAGTAGCTGTGCCTTTAAGGAGTTTTAGACAGTTATTAACATTTACACTCTGAATCATCTTTGGAGATTAAATCTGAAGTGTTGCACAACAATAATACCATATTTTTGATAAGAGTTAACATATTTTCAGTTAATGATGGTTATTTGACTAAACATCAGTGCTATCCTGTTTTTATATTGCTATCCCTATTCTTGAAGCTGTTCAAATAATAAAAATTATAAAATTGCATCAGTAAAAACAAATTGAAGCAATGTAAAAGATATTATTTTAAAATATTACCTAAATAATTCATTCAGGATTCATACAGAGAGAAAAAAATGGAAGAGAAGTCTTCAGCAGCCCCCACCCCCTATTTAGCGACGACTAGCTTCAGAGACAAACATTCCAGAATGCAGAGGCCACTCCAGAGATGTCCCACCTGTCAGTAGCTGCAAGATGATTGGCAGAATGAATACAGTAGGACTTCCCTTGGTGCTTTCAGTGACTGACCAGGTCCCTATTAGCAAAGATTGCTTTTTGGACATTTTGAAGGCCTTTTTAAAAAAAAAAACCTAAGATGAAAGTAATTCATCTTCATCATCATTACCACCATCACAGCAAGAATAATAATGTGAACAGTTAAAACAGTAAAAAATATCAAGACAAAAAATAAGAAAGCAGAAAAGTATCCAGGAAAGAGGTTGGGCCGCTAGGAATTCAAGGGATACACTAGAAGAGGCTTGCACACAATTTGTAGAGGGAAGGGGCCTTGTTGATAAATTTATAGTTGTGGGCCACAAGGGAACAGCTGATCAGCTCTTCAGTGGTTGTGTGGCAGCAACAATGGAACTGCTGGTAGCAATGAGCCTAGAGGCATTCAGCAGCTTATCTTTTGGGATGTCAACATCAGAAGATTCCCTGTGGTAATATTTGGTGGTAGTGGATTTATCAAGTTCTCAATGTGGGTAGACTGCATATTGTGCAGGCGTGTTTGAGAAGTATATTGAAACTGTTTCTCCTCCCTTCTTCATTTCTGCCCTTTCGGATACTGTACATTCTGCCACCGCCTACCTCTGCTACTCCAAGCTGGCCTTTGCTGTCTTCTTCGCATTGCTGAGGCACACCCAGTCAAATCAGCTGGTGGCTTTTTGTGAGGACCAAGCAGCTGCCTCAGCCAGGCATGCCTCATCAGCAGTGGAAGCAAGGAGACACTTGGGGTCAGTAGGGATAGGAGTGGCAGGGTACAGATGGCCCAAAGGGCAGATATAGAATATAGACAAGTGTTGGCAGGTCAGGAAAAATGTGAGGTCCTTGCCTAATGATGGTAACTGATACTATGAGGAATCCTGTTGCTAAGTGATGAAGTCATGTGATGTTTTGCCTAATAATTGCTTCACTTGACAATAGAAATTCAGTCCTAATCAAAGCTATTAAACTAGGACTACTTGTAGATATATTTGGTTTATTTCCTAAATTGTTCCCAAATAAGTGAATTTCCTTGTTATATACCCTGTTTCCCTGAAAATAAGACATCCTCTGATAATAAGCCCAATCGGGCTTTTGAGTGCATGCGCTATAATAAGCCTCTCCCCCTCTGAAAATAAGCCCTCCCCGAAAATATCTAAACACAGAGCTGGAAATCAGGTAAGACGGTAAGAGGGCCCCATCTTGCTCCATGTGTCCAAAAACAATAAGACCTCCCCGAAAATAAGGCCAAGCACTTATTTCGGGGTTCAAAAAAATATAAAACGGCCTTATTTTCGGAGAAACATGGTATTACCCAGCATATTATAAAGCTTACAACTTTCCTTCAGTTTTTTGATTCCCTGGTAATCCTTTCCATATTTTCTTTTCAAAAAGAGGCAATGTTAAGGAGCAATGTATTCCAGTTAAAAGGTTTACTGTACTAATCAAGCCTTGATTATCCGAATTAATAGAAAAAGGGCAGCTAACAAAATGTGTGTTGCTCTAAGAAAACATTTTACAATAATCATTACAGCTAGATTGTGTTGTGATCAACTCAAGTTATTCAGTTACAAGGTGCATCTTTGCTCAAGCTGTTGATGTAGCTTTCCTTTCCTTCCTTTGGTGCTCATCCACATTTGTTCCAATTGTGTTTTGCTGCCCCTCACCAAATGAAGCAGTCTGTCCCCACTTGAGCAAAAATTGCAAGCATCTTGTTTTTTCCTTTATATATTTCAATAAACATGTCTTAAAACAATAGATTTCAGAAGCAGGTTGTAAGAAATGTGAATTTTTCAATCGTCTATGGACATGTAGAGAAATCCCACAATCTCTAGGTTCTGTCAGAGGGCATGTGCAATTTGAATATACTGTCACTTCATGATAAAACAAAACGTTGCAATATTTCTATAATTTCTTTGTTTTTGCTAAGGATTTTCCTCATAGACATTAGAGCATGTTTTATACTTATAGCTCAACTTTTCCCAGTTAAATATTTCACACATATTATGAGGGTGTTGTGAAATAGAGTCATATCTAGAAAGCAGTACACAGTTTCCGTGACTGTTCTGGAGACTGATGCAGCAAGAGAATCTGTTCTACAATTTCTTACTCTGTACACTCAAGCACAATGGTTGCTGTAAACTTTTCTGAAATGAGTAGTTTTTGCTTTAGCAAAGCAATTTAGATTATTGGAGGTGAACTGCTTTGTTTCACTGAAGTGGAACAGACAACCTGAAGTAATGAATTGATTTAGGAGAAGTTTCTGTTGCAGAAAGCTTACTCTAGCTTGGACTTCTCCCCTAATATCTCCAGTGTATGCTGAGATGTTTTAGCATCAATGGCTTTTATGTGGGTAATCCCACGGCACTTTGTGAGGCCACTCACCCTGGAGTCCCCTTGAATGTGCCCTAAAATTCTTTCAGACTGGCTTCTTTGTTGACCACTGCAAGGTTGTCTACAGCAGATGATGAAGGTAGCCAGTGTGGAAGTATTTCAGCATTCACTAAGAGATTTCTAGAGTGGTGTATGATAAGGAGTCATTATTGGGGGCACAAAAGATATCATACCACAAGTAAACAAGATACTTTGCCCTACCTCTCCTGCGCGAGCTGCACTGGCTCCCGGTGGTCTTCCAGTGCACTTCAGGGTTTTGGTTACCACCTTTAGAGTGCTCCATGGCTTAGGGCCTGGCTATTTATGGGACCGCCTGCTGCCGCAAACGGCCTCCCACCGGCCAGTACGCTCTCACAGAGAGGGACTCCTCCGGGTGCTGTCGGCCAAACAATGTCGGCCAGCGGCCCCCAGGGGGACAGCCTTCTCTGTGGGGGCACCTACTATCTGGAACGAGCTCTCCCTGGAGATACGGAGGATCCCGGATCTACACACCTTCCACCACGCTCTCAAGACCTTTTTATTTCACCAGGCTGGTCTGGCCTAATCTCTCCCATTCCCTTTTTAATGTAAATTTTAATGTAAATTTTAATTTGTTCTTTACCTGAATTTGTCTTGGGCTAAATTGATTTAATTCGATTTTACTTCTGCTCTTAAACATAAATTTATGTGTTTTATCTTGTGCCTGTTCACCGCCCTGAGTCCTTCGGGAGTAGGGCGGTATATAAATCAAATAAAATGAAAAAAATAAAATGAAAATGAACAAGTTTATATTACTTTTCCACATATGCCTTGAATGATTGTGAGGTTTTCTCGGCTGTGGTTTCCTCTCCCAATGGAATTGGAATGACCTATTCATAAAATATTGTGAGAATAGTGATTGTTTTAATAAGAATATTCAAGTTGAAGGTCGGTTAGATACATGATACTACATTGTTTGGGGGGGGCATTTCTATTTAAATTATAAACAATGTTGAATGTTTGGAAAGCTATAGATGAAAATTCAGTAAATATTAAACACTGAAAAATATTCAAATGCAATATGTAAAAAAAATAGGTTGAACAGCATAATAACGGGATCCAATCTTTCTTTTGCTTTCAGGTATTTTGAAGTAAGTCTGTTCTGCATCTGTAGAATAAGATTTTCTTCTGCCTTAATTATGAATATGTGTATAAAATAATTCAAGAGCACACTCAAGATATATAGGTCTTTCTATGCCTACACACACACACGCACACATATACATAACCAGAAATTTGAAGAAGAAGCAGAAATGGTTATTTCTGTTCACCATATGAGCTCTTTGCAAATTATCTGGCTATTTATATGAATTGCTGCATGTGTTGGACCAACAAATTAATATATTTGTATGACCATTTGATTCTCAACATAAAAAAGAAGTTAAAGCTATTCCAAATCTGTTAGTATCTTACTTAAATGCATATTTTAACTCGTGCAGGAAAGGAATGGG